CCGCGAGAGACTCAAGATGGAGGCGCAGAGCGGGGGGCGTGAAGTGCTCGGTTTGGGTTCGAGAGCACGCGATGCACGGCGCATGCGATTTTCGGTCCGGCGATTGTTGGAAAAGACGCAGGCAGAAAAATACGGCCCCACAGAGAATCGGCATCCCGCCGGCTTGCATGGGCAATCGGCGAGCGATCTGCGACGGACCGAAAGTTTGATCCAGGGCGCGGGGTCGGCGTCCACTGCTTGCCCGCATAACTTCGGGATCCGTCGGGGATTCCCCGTTTCGCCGTTCATGTTTGTTATGGAAATTACTGCTCAAGTTGGACCCAGCGCAGCAGGTGCGCGAGCTGCGCGCGCAGACAATGCGCTGCTCATGGCGGCCACGGGCGAGGAGGCCTCCGAGCATAGGCGCTGCGCGCAGCGAGCTGGGCAACAATCGGGCTTCCAAGTCGAATGGCGAAATCTGGATGTTCTGTCGGCGGGGCGCAATGCGTCCATCCTGATGTCGGACAGGAATGCAATCCCGCAGAAAGACAGCATAGTCCACCTGGGGAGCTGAAGTGCCAGCGATGTGGAAGTCGGCTCGGATCTGCCCCGTCGACAGGGCGCCGCTTTCGTCGAGTTTGAGACCTTGGCAAGGGCGCGGTCTCATCGTGCATTGGACAAATCGAGAACTTGAAACATTTGAAGCCTGCGGGGCGAGCAAACTGCTGCGCTGCCAGCGCATGTTTGTTCTGCGCAAACAAGAGATTCGCATATTTGACGCCTTCCAAACCAGGTGCACCCCCCCAAAGTTCCACGCCTTCTACCTTCTCATGGAAGCAGAGTGCCCAATGAGTGCGTCCTGCAGCGCGCCAGACCCAAGCCGCCGAGCAACGCTCTTCTCGGGGACACCCAGAACGCCCAAGAGGCCCCGACGCCGCCCCGATATACCCGAGGGTCAATGCAGAGGGGGGGTCCGTCAAGGCGCCAGATCTTGCAGGACCCTGCAGGGCTATGGGTTCACTGCCCCGGGCCTGCGTGCTGGATCCTCCCGGGTCGGGGTTGCCCCGGGCCAGCAGATTCCCGATTCCCGCGCTGGGTTCTCCACGGCCCACCACGCTCGCAAGGCGCTTCGCGAAGGCTCCCAGACGGCCCAGACCGCCCCCCAGACGCTCCAAGGGGGTTCTCAGGCGGCGCCCAACAAACCACAGGACGCACAATTCTTTACGCTTCGCGTATCCCCACCAGCCCATCTCACAGCAGCAACTCTTGCGAAGCATGCCGACAGTCGTGTTTTTCAGGCGTGTGTCCGCTTGGCCCCGCATATCTCTCCCGTTCCTCCTTCCTCCCGCCTCCTTGTACATCCTCCTTGTGGGGGGAGCGGGAGAAGGACGAGGCGGAGGAGGAGGGCTCCTCGTGATTTGAGTCGTTTGGGGTTTCGTCCTGGTGTGAGTCGTTCGGGCCCTTCTTCCTGGTGTGAGTCGTTCGGGCTCTTCGTGATGTGAGTCGTTGGGGGTCTTCGTCCTCGTGTGAATCGTTCGGGCTTCTCGTGGTGTGAGTTGTTCGGGCCCCTCATCCTGGTGTGAGTCGTTCGGGCCCCTCCTCCTGGTGTGACTCGTTCGGGTTCCTCGTGGTGTGAGTCGTTCGGGCCCCGCGTCGTGGTGTGAGTCGTTCGGGCTCCTCGTGGTGTGAGTCGTTCGGGCGCCTCGTCCTGGTGTGAGTCGTTCGGGCCCCTCCTTGTGGTGTGAGTCGTTCGGGCTCTTCGTGGTGTGAGTCGTTCGGGCCCCTCGTCCTGGTGTGAGTCGTTCGGGCTCGTGGGTCGTTCGGGCCCTCGCCTCTTGGGGGCCTCTTGGGGCCTCGGGGGCCCTTGGAGGCCTCTTGGGCCTTGGGGGCCCGCTTGGGGGACTTCTTGGGGGCCTCTTGGGGCCTCGTAGGGGCCTCTTGGGGGCCTCTTGGGGGCTTCTTGGGGTCTCGTGGGGCCTCTTGGGGGCCTCTTGGGGGCCTCTTGGGGGCCTCTTGGGGCCGCTTGGGGGCCTCTGGGGGGCCTCTTGGAGGCCTCTTGGGAGCCTCCTGGGGGCCTATGGGGGCCATCTTGGGGCCTCTTGCGACCCCCTCACAAGCGCAAATGAGAGCTGCCCCCTGAGAAGGACAAAATGAGCCCAAAACCTTCGTAACATCAATGATTTTGCTATGAGGGAAGATGAGCGCGGCCCCCTCAGAAGGCCAAAATGGGGCCAAAACCATAGTAAAATCAATGATTTCTGCTTCACAGACGAGCAGAGGGGCCAAACTCGGCCCCCCCGTCGGGGCCAGAATCCTAGTGAGGGTCGTCGTTTTTTGGCCCTCCCAGGAGTCGACAAAGACCCCCCTGTCACCACCCCGGACTCCCTGTCCAGGTCCAGGGGGAGGGGGGAGGGGGAGGGGTAAACCCTTCCCCGAAGGGGAAGAAGGGGGGTTGAGGACAGAGCGGGCTTTCTAAACCACTCACGCCCAAAAGGGCTGGTGGGATTCATCTTGTGCCGTTTTTCCCAACTTAGGCTCTGCCTAGAAGGGTTTTCTACCGCGTGTGCTAAAAAGGCCAGGCAGCGCAAATCGCCCCGGGCGGTTCCCCTAGGATCCGCCCCGCGGTTCCCCCGGCAACCGGGGTTCCCTACTTAGGCTCTGCCTACAGGGTTAGCTTAGCTTAGCTTAGCCTAGCTTAGCTTAGCTTAGCTTAGCTTATCTCATCCGTTTAGCTCAGCCTAGCCTAGCTTAGCTTACCCTACCTTACCTTAGCTTACCTTAGTTTAGCTTAGCTCAGCACAGCTTATCTCAGCTAAGCTCTGCTTAACTCAGCTTAGCTTAGCCTAGCTTAGCTTAGCTTAGCCTAGCCCAGTCTAGCCTAGCTTAGCTTACCTCATCTTAGCTTAGCTTAGCTTACCTGAGCTCAGCATAGCTTACCTTAGCTCAGCTTAGCTTAGCTGAGTTATCTCATATTATCTTAGCCTAGCTTAGCCCGGCCTGGCCTAGCTTAGCTCACCTTAGCTCACCTTCGCCTAATTTAACTTAGCTCAGCTTGACTTAGTTACCTTATAGTATTCCATCTTATCTTAGCTTAGCTTAGCTTAGCTGAGCTTAGTTGTCTTAGCTTAGCTTAGCTAATATTATGCTGTTTTCCTAGGGGCTCCTAGGTCGGGTCGCACTGGGATAATCTTGTTTTTTTGTGTTTTCCGTTTTTTCGATTTGCCGCTGTTTCAACCCAGACCCGAAAGCACCATTTGCCCGCTTCGAGACGATTTCACGGGCTCCCCCAAGGGCGCCCGCACCGCCCAAGAGGCCCCAACGCCGCCATGCGGCATGCTAGAAAAGCCCAAGAAGGCCCCGAGCCGCCCCCGAATCGCGAACACACCATGCCCAGACGCACGCGGGCGCAGGCATACGGCCCATCACGCTCCCAAGGTTTTACACGAAGGTTCCCAAGCGGACCAGACCGCCGCTCCCAGGGCGCTCCACGAAGGTTTCCAGACGGTCCAGACCGCCCCCCAGACGCTTCAAGAGGGCCCCCAGACGGCCCCCAAGAGGGCACAGAAACGCAACATGTTTTGGGGTTCGTGGGATTAAACGTGTTTTGAAGCTCCCGCGTCTTCAGGTCAGAAGGTAAATAACAAAACACGAATAGTCAAACATTGACGTTTCCGGCATCCCAAAACCCTCCCAAACGGTCGAAAGCCGAAAAACTTGGAACCATGACGTTCGCCCCCCCCCCCCCCCCCCCCCAGGGAGGCGTGCGACGGCCGCCTGAGCGAGGGTTGGGGAGGAGGAAGAGATGGGGATGAGGAGGACGGGTAAACAGCGGGAGCTGTGGAGGAGGTGGGCACAGAGGGAACATGGTAGAAGGAGGGGGGGGAGGAGGAGGAGGAGGAGGAGGAGGAGGAGGAGGAGGAGGAGGAGGAGGAGGAGGAGGAGGAGGAGGAGGAGGACCACTGAGGAGCAAAGAGGGCGAGAGGGGAAATGGAAAATCACGAGGGGAAAAAGGGAGAGAGGAAGAAAGCAGAGAAGGAAGGGGAGGAGGAGAAGGAGGAGGATGACCACAGCAATGGCGAGAACCGAGAGGGACAAGGACAGGAGAGGGCCGATGCGGACGGAGGCTCCGCAAAACCCCCCGCCTGCGGATTCCGTCTTCCGCCCTGCCAAATGTGGCGGGCATCCTGCGGTAGGATGGACCACTACTTGTAGACACTTTTGTGTCGCTCTGTGGCGGCTGGGTTGCGGGCCCGACTCACCAAATATGGTTTGTCAGTGGTCGCCATCGGTAGTGAGAGGTGAGGGGACTGTGTTGTTCTGCAGCGACACGGGCTCAATATGCTGACAGTCGTCATTGCTGCGAGCGCGACGCAGGCCTCTCATGGCACACTCAGCGGTCGCTTAGCCTCGCAGCAGCGGCCTCTCCACCCGACAAATCTTGCTCAGCCGTGCGACCCCTCCCGAATCCGCTCCTCCAGGCCTCCCCAAAGCGCTGCGGGCGCATCGATTCGGCAGTCTTGCGTTGCGGGGGGGTCTGGTGGGCACAAATGGCCAGGAGGTGGAAGTTCTCGACGTGCGAAGTACTCCGGGCGGCTTGCTCGAGGAAGCCGATCACACGGAAAGACGGCCGAAGAGGGTCCAAAGACGGCCCAAGAGGCGCCAAAGACGGCCCAGGCAGGCCCCCAAGGGGCAGAATGGGGTTCAGATTCACACACGAGGCCTTGATATCTCTCCGTCCGCCTTCGCGACCCCGCCTGCCAGCGCCTCATCGAGCCATCCTAGACTCTTGTCACGTCCTATGTTCCTGTTCCCAGTCTGAGGCATTGCAAGTACCGCTTGCGTCGCGAAGCCACTTGGTGCAATGGAACGTTGCTGGAGGAGGAGCAGGGAAAGGGCGATAGATGGAAGCAGCAAGAACAGCACAACTACAAGAGCGAGGGTGTGGGGGAGGGGGAGGAACAGGAACCATTGAGGAAGGGAAGGAGGGGAAGGCGAGGTTGGTCCCGGCCGAGTGCGCGGAGGAGCTGGAGACCGTGCTGGGCGAGTTTGAGAAGTTGCCCAATAAGGACTCCCTAGGGAGATTTCACGGGCGCGAAGAATCTCTCTCCTCATCCTCCCTGCATGTATCCGTCTCAGTGCGAAGGACACCGAAGTGGACGGCCTCACAGACGCTGGTGCTGCGAGGCAGTTGGTTTGTGAGGTCACTCGGAGCAGAAGGGTAGAGACTGTTTTTGTGTAGGGTCTGGCGATTGCCAGGGTTATCGGGCTCGCACCCCCATCCCCCCCCAGATAACCTCAACTTTATCGGTTGAGCAAGGTCCAGGAGAGGGGGGGGCGGGAAGCTCGCAGGGAGCTTTGTGTTCAACGGCGCAGTGGTGGTCGCAACAGCATGCTGGTGTTTGGATGCGCGCGGGTGAAACGTTGAGGCTTGAAGTGGCAGGCGACGACGACGCCGACGGCCGACGTCGTCCATAGGTATCTGGAAGTACACGTGAGCAGCGCGTACACAGGCATCGCAGTTTGCACGCAGCGAGGCGATTTGGTGCACGCATTTGATGCTGCAGCAGGCGTTGTGGTGCACGCAAGAATGGGTGCACGCGCGGTGCACCCGGGCATCGCGATGCGCACACGCTTTTTCGCGAACGCAACCGTTGCTGCAACAACAATTATGGTTCATGCAGGCATTCCAGGCATAGTGGTGGGCTTTCGGTGGAGCGCCCTTTGTGGCCACGAGCCGTGTGAGGGGTGTGCCGAACTGGGCGCGGGACGCATGTCAACGCAACCATTGGGGCCTTCGGTGGAGCGCTCGATGGGGCCGCGAAGCGCGTGACATGGGCGCGGGACCCACATGAACGCATGGGTGGTGTTTGTACGTGTGCGTGTGTGGTTGTATGTTTCCTTTGACGATCTCGCCGCACCGTTGAACTGAAGGTTGACCCGCACTGTGATGCCATCGATATCCAGCAACGTGGTTCGTCGACTTGCGCCGCGCACCATTGCTCAATGTGTAATCCGGATCGGTTCAAATTTAGCCTTGTCCTCGCATCTTCCTGCGTAACCTTTTTCCCTCCTCATTCTCCCGTTCCTTTTCCCCCTTCCTCGGCACCCTTTTCGGCCTGGGCTGATCGCCGGCTTAGGGGTATTGCGACATCGAGGCGCCTCAGCCTTGAAGTTTCGAGTTCATGCGCATTGGTTGGGGGACGGGGAGCGAGGAGGGGGCGGAGACTGTTTGTTCAAGGGTCTGGCAATCGTCCGGGTTATCGGGCCCGCCCCTTCCGCCCCGAACCTCCCGACCGTTTCGGCTGCGCAAGTCCGATGGGAGCTTGCGTAGGCAATTCACAGGGAGCGTTGTGGTCAACGTTTCGGTGATGCTCGCAGAGGCAGGCCGGCGCTCATGAGCACATTTGTGTTCGCAGGCGTCGTAGGCAGGCATTCCCAGACGGCGCCAGCATTGTCGGCGCACCAGCAGCACCGTCAGAAGTATGAAGCTTCAGCTTAGTGCTGGTGCGCGCAGGCATACGCGGGGCTGCCCAAATCGGGAGAGTTAGGTTATCGGCGCCCCCCTCCCAGATATCTTTGGTTGCCGCCGAGAAATTACAACCGAATTTGTGGGAGGTCGGTCGCCCCAGCGCAGGAAGGCGTCGAGCCGACGTTCGCAACGAAGCCGGAAAGGCCATTGGTTGCGTCGGCCTTCCCACCCCGCCCGCCTGACAGGCACTACCTCCTCCCCCTCCTCCTCCTCCTCCTCCTCCTCCTCCTCCTCCTCCTCCTCCTCCCCCTCCTCCTCCTCCCTCTCCTCCTTCCCCATCCACCCCGACGTCATGGCCAGGGAAGATCGGGTGGGTGGGTTGGAAGACATGACGCGGGCAGACCCGCCAGCTGAGGCAGCCGTGCGGGATGGGAGGGAGGAGGGATGAGGGACGAGTTATTAAGATTGAAGGAGTGGGAAGATCGGAGGGGGGCGCGTGCAGAGGACACCTTCGACCTGAAGACCGTAACCATAGCAGCGCAGGCGATCGTCAACACCAAGATCCGGGATCGCCGCGCCGCCATACTCGGCCGTCGGGCGGGGCTAGGACGAGGGTAAGTCCGTTCCAGGGCGTTCGGGAACGCTCTCAGAGCGTTCCGGAACGCTCTGAGAAGGCCGCGGCGCCCCGAAATCTTCGATAGCCGCTGGATCTCAGAGATTCTCGACGTATTTTCACATGGTTTGAATTGGTTTCGTCTTAACCGCATGCCCCCGATGATAGAGCCTTCCCCCTTTCCCACCAACCTCATGAGTTTCTGGGGCCAAGACAGTTTTCGTTGGCGGTGGGGAACGACGGTTCATCATCACAGGGGAAAGTACCTGTCGCAGGTTGAATATTATTACGTAGCACCCCGCAGATGCGGATAAGAGTGAGGGGGCGGTGGGGACGTCGGCAGCGTGCGAGACTCTGGAGAAGCCCGCCGCAGGCGCCAAAGTTTCACAAATTATGCAACGAGCCCGCCGCAGGCGCCGATTTTTCTTTAAACCAATGTGGATCGGTCGCGGTGGGTCGCGGGTGGGTCGCGGGTGGGTCGCGGGGTGGGTCGCGGGGTGGGTCGCGGGGTGGGTCGCAAGTTGGTCGCGGGCGGGTGGGCCGCGGATGGGTCGCGGAGTGTGTCGCGGGTGGGTCGTGGGGTGGGTCGCGGGTGGGTCGCGGGGTGGGTCACAGGTGGGTCGCGGGATGGGTCGCGGGTGAGGTCACGGGTGGGTTGCGAGGCGGGTCGCGGGGTAGGTCGCGGGGTAGGTCGCGGGTGGGACGACAACAAATAACAACAACAACAACAACAACAACAACAACAACAACAACAATAGCAACCATAACAACAACAACAACAGCAACAACAGCAACAGCACCAACAACAACAACACCAACAACAACAACAGCAACAACAACAACAACACCACCAACAACAACAACACTAACAACAACAACAACAACAACAACAACAACAACACCAACAACAACAGCAACAACAGCAACAACAACAGCAGCAGCAACGACAACATCAACATCAACATCAACATCAACATCAGCATCAGC